CCCTACTCCTGAGGATAGAATCTGGGAGTGCACTAACACTGAGCTGTACTCCAGCTCCTTTAACTTCATTTTGAGATGGTCTCACTAAGTTGCCCAGGCAGAGCTTAAACTTGAAAGCCTCTGCCTCAGTCTCCCCAAGTCCCAGGATTAGAGGTGACATATGTCACTGCACTCTCTCTTTTAAAATAGGCAAGGAAGGGGGCCGCAGCTCTAGTTGGATTGTGTGTTCTGCCCTAATTGTTTCCTGTCACTCCCTCTGCATGAAGTATAAGCACCAGGATTGGTGAAAGAGCACAGCAGAACCTGCCACCGCCTAGCAGGGGCCTCAGGGTCTGCAGGTGGGTGGACTGTTCACTCATTAGCATAAAGCTGGGGGCCTGCTCGTGGGCCCGGAGGGAGCCCCACTGCAAAGCAGCTCCAGGGAAATACGAGCAAATAAAGCTCAAATACAGTTATGGGGGACAGGAGTCAGTGGCCAAGAACGTGGCCAATGCTCTACTCGTGACATTTACAGTAAAGGCTAAAAATGGAATCAAAACAGTTTAGAATGATTACTGTCTCTTAAGGGTTTCCACATTTCTGTTAGCACTGTGCCCGGTTGCAGTGCACCATGACTAGTCACCTCGAGGAATCGGTCCATGTACCTTACACATGTCAATGGTTTTTACTTCCTCTTCCTAGAATGGTTATCATCTTATTGAGTTTATTTTTCTTTCTTTCTTTCTTTCTTTCTTTTTTGTCTTTTTGAGAGAGGGTCTCTCTACGCAGTTCAGGCTGAACTTGAGCTCACTTTGTAGCCTAGGCTGGTCTCGAACTCACAACAATCCTCCTGCTTCCGCCTCCCGAGTGCTGGGGATTACAGCTGTGAGCCACCACACATGGCCTAGTTTATTTTTCAATAAAGAAATTGAGTTTATGAGGTAGGAAGATTTGAAGTCTCCAGAAAAGTTTAATGATGAGAACCCAAGACAAACTGAAATTTGGAAGACTTTCCTGCTAAAATATTCCCATTTTGCTAGAACAGACTTACTCACTGGGATTCAGCAAAGATATTGAAGTTGAAGGTATTTGGGCAAAATAGTTTCTCCCAGTTTGGTGTGGTGGCATGTGCCAGCAGTCCCAGTAGTCTAGAGGCTGAGGCAGGAAGACCCCTTGAGCTCAGGAGTTGAAGACCAGCCTGGGCTGCATAAGGAGACCTCCTCTCAGTGAATAAACAGATACTTTGTCCCACTGGTTTCTTCTGCACAGCTTCTGGAGTTTTCGGCAAGAACTTCAGTCTTCCAAAGGCAAGTGGGTAATAGCCTACAAAATTTAAATAACCAATAAAGAGTTTTAAAAGCAAAAAAAAAAAACTAGCTGTGTCAGAGGACAGAAATATCACATTTTTCTGATATATATTGCTGTTTCATTAACCTGCACCCTGTAATGGACAAAGTTATGTATATTTATACAAAGATGTTTCCTAGTCCTATTATTAATTACTAAGTGCCATTGTTAACCATTCTGATTAGTGTTGTGTTGAAAATAACAAAATAACATTTTCTACAAAACGGAGAATTAGCCAGGTGTGGTGGTGCATGCCTGTAATCCTAGCACTTGGGAGGCTAAGGCAGGAGGATCGCCATGAGTTCAAGATCAGGCTGGGCCACATAATGAGTTTAGGAATCGGCTGAACTACAAAGTGAGATCCTGTGTCAAAGACAGAGATGAGAGAGAGACAGAGACAGAGACAGAGACAGAGAGAGAGAGAAGCAAATACAGAATATTTCATTTCAGGTAAGTGCTTTTTTCATGTTACAAAATTTTTGTTTTTATTACTAAAGTTAGCAGGACGTGATGATTACATTCTTCATGGGGAGGATACAGGTGTGTAACACATCTTAATTCTTTTTACTGCCCTCTATCCTCCTCTACCTCCTCATGTTTTATTTTAAAGTAAATAAAGTAGAGGGGAGTATGGTGTAGTAATCTCGTCCGGTCAGCAGCCGGCCACATACACAAGTGGCCCCATGACTACACAGGCACTGAAAAAGTCCTATCACCTAGTGAAAGCATGGCTTTCATAATGTAGCATGCCCTGGAACTCCTGTTTGTGGTAATGCTGATGTAAACAAAGCTAATGTGTCACTATTTGTATAAAAGTATAGCAATACAGTTATGGGCAATGCATGGTACTCGGCATGGTAATAAGTTGCTGGTTTATGTATGGACCCTACAGTGCTGCGTGTGTCTCCTCTCTGCCTTTCTGTCTGTCTTTCTGTCTCTGTCTCTGTCTCTTTGGCACTGGGGTTTGAACCCAGGGCTTTTGCATTGAGCTACATCCTCAATCCTTTTAAATTTTTTTTTTTTTTTTACTTTGAGCCAGTCTTACTAAGTTGCTAAATTGCCCTCATGTTTGTAATTCTCCTGTCTCAGCCTTCCAGACTGCTGGGATAACAAGTATGTATCTCATATTGATTGCTTTGAGCTGCTGTGCCAAGTGACTGACCTCTGCTGCCTAGGACTGAAAATGGATCAGCTGCCACGTGCACAGGGTGAGATTGCCTTGAAGTGTGTTTCTCAGAACCGCTCTCTGCCATCAATACATGGCTGGTGGATTTTATACAAATAATTTTGTTTGGTTGCTGGGGCTGCATCCCAGGTTGGCTCACCCTGGATGGTCTGCTTCTCTTTCTTCTTCCTCTTCCGTCCTCCACTCCCCTCTTCTTCTGACACTTTCCCTCCCCATACTCTTTGCATCTGTTCCAGTTTGCATGTTGCAGGCTGGAGCTCCTTGTAGGAGGTCAAAGGTCACCAGGTTATGCCTGCAAAGGGGACGGTGGGACCCTGGCTGTTATTTTCCTCTTTTGATTCCTGGCATGAGGAGAGTGTTTTTCACACACACCAATGAGCCCTGGCCTGAAACTCCAACACCAGGAACCAAGCAAGCCTTTTCCTTATGAGCCGGTGATCGGGGCGACTTGGTATAGTGTGCAAACTGGCTGTAGCAACGACACACTGTCTTTGCTCCTCCTCTCCTTCTTCTGTTACCCATTGTTTGATTTGCTCTCATAATGTCCCTACAAAAGGTTTTTTGTTTTTGTTTTATTTTGTTTTGCAGGGTCTTGCTGAATAGTTCAAGCTGGTCTTGGACTCATTATGCAACCCAGGCTGGCCTCAAACTTGTGGTGATCCTCCTGCCTCAGATTCCCTAGTGATGAAATTACAGGTGAGTGCCACCACCTCTGGCCCTATAAAATGTTCTGACCAGAGATTATTGTTACAATTCAGTGAAAAACTTGATTTGCAGAAATGCAAAGTCATCTCTTTGGGATTACACACACACACACACACACACACACACACACACACACACACACACGGGGGGGGGGGCATGGACACCACCACCAGCTGTGTGCCTTGGGCTACATCAGCAATCAGGGTCCCTGCAGGTGCACAGCTCCACCAGCAGCTTTCCAAACAGGCCTCTGAGGCTTACCACCCACCTCCCTTTTGTCTTCGGGCAGCAATTACTTGGCACAATTCTTAGAATGCATCAGGGAAGGAGCTGTGAGCACCACTGCTGGCAAAGGGTGAACTCCCACCTGCTACCAGCTGCCCCTCAGCAGCACTGAGCTCCTCCAGGGTGCTGGGTGCTGGGTGCTGGGTCCTGGGGCTGCAGAGCAGCTGCAGAGCTGTGGCCTGGCTCCAGGAGCTCAGGCCTGTGTGACAGGTGCTACTCAAGGCAGCTGGGCATCTGGGAGGGTGCAAGAGGGACTCCAGGCTGGTGGAGGCTGGTCTGGGAAGGCTCCCCGGAGGAGATGCTGGCTGAACTGAATCTTACTGAGGACAAAGATGAACAGGTGCCAGGGGGAAAGACAAGGCACCTTATGAGCAAAATGACAGTGGCGAGATGTGAGAGCAGCATGGAAACCGCTTCGCACTACATGTCTGTGTGTGGACAGGATGGAGGAACGGCCCAGGCTCGGCGTCCTGGCGGGCAGGGTCCTGCCTGGGTGATCTGGCTGTGCAGACCCGCTGCACCTGCCCTCCCCCACCGCCTGTCAGAGGCAGGCCCAACCAGTTGGCCCCAATCTTGCCCTTTTTTGACTAAAAGGAGAAACCCTGCAAGTAATCATGTTCACTGTCAAGAAAAACACATAAAAATAACCCAACACCAAGAAATTACTTTTTGGTGTATACTCACAGATATTTTTCTATGTCTAATTTGTTTTTGCAAAATTAACTGATTGATATATGTTGCTCTTTTTCTTGTGTTAAAATACATATATGATTTATCACTACTGTGACCAAATTTAGGAATACAATTTTGTAGGATTAAGTGCGTTATAATGCAGTCGTCACCACCATCCATTTCTAGAGCCTTTTCGTATTCTTCAGCTGAAATTCCGCCTCCATTAAACAGTAACTCCTCTTCCCGCCACCCCACTTCCCTTGAAAACCACCATCTGTTTTCTATCTCTGAGAAGCTGGCTAGTCTAGGACCCTCATCTAAGTGGAATGACAACACCCTGGGTCCTTTTGTCTCTGGCTCGTCTCACTTAGGAAAGCATCCCCAAGTGTCGTGTATGCAGTGAAGCGAGGCAGACTTCCCTTCCGTGTTGTGCCTCACCGTCCCCTGGTATGTGCATCACATTTTGCTCGCCCATCCATCCGTCACTGCATACATGGTTTGCTGCTGCCTTTTAGCTACTGTATATATTGCTTTTTAACCTAACATAGTATGAACATCCTCTCTATGAGTAGTTCTCCCCAAGGCCTGTTATGGTGGCTGCTCTGTGACACACGACACGCCTGTTTCACAGTGTACTCGGCCAGTCCCTGGGGGCTGGAAACTCGGTTTGTTTCTAATTTGTTTGCTTTCGTGTACAGTGCTGGAATAAATGTCCTTGTGACTAATGTCTTTGTGACGCTGGCTGACTGTGACTGTCAGACAAAAGAGTCCTGCGCAGTGAGGGGCTTCCACTACTGGAAGTTTCAGCCAGCCAGGCCGCAGCCCTCAGACGAGAGGTGGCTAGGTGGCACCCAGATGTGAGCTGAGCACACGGGGCTGCTGGAACAGACACTGATCAGGTCTCACCTGGGCAGGGCAGGAAAGGATGGACAGCAGCTGGAAGGGTAGGTGGCTTGAGGCAAAATAACCCGCTGGGATTAGTAGGACATATTTGGGCACGACAGCCCTTTGACCCACACTTGGTTATCTCACTTGAAAACGTGATCTGAGCAGATGATGCAAACTGAATCTTTTTTTTTTTTTTTTTGCAGTGACTTTTGGGAGATGATAAAAGCTGGGTTTTGGAACTAGTTCCACCTAATTGCAGTCCAAGCTCTGTGCTTCCTGGCTTTGTGCCTTGGACATGCTGGGTCACCTCTCAGATATCAAGTTTCCTCATCTGTGACACCCCTCCAGTTTTTATGTTTGTTTTGGGGTTTTTTTGTTTGTTATCTATTGCTTCAGAGTTCCTGAGAGGTGAAAATACAATCATGATGTGAAGTCATGGGGCAGAGACATCACAGGGGCACCTCAGTGGTGGTGAACCCTGCCGCTCTCACGCCAGCATCATCTTTAACACAGAAACAGCCTAGAAATCTAACCACAGAGGGATGATTAATAATTAATGCTTCTGGCTCCGCCCTGCAAAATATAACCCAACCGTGTCCCCACTATCAGGTTGGACGAAGATGGAGATTATGAATACCAGTTTTACACTATTTGTAAGTACAATGAATGGAAGAAAATATGAAAATGGAAACAATATGCCCAGTAAGCATCACAGGAGCTCCTTTTTTTTCTTTTTATAAACATCATATTCAAAATTACACAATTATTTGCCCTGACAAAAGCAGTTTCTTTCTGTGGGTGCTGCTCCTTCCCTGTGCTGGAATATTACCACAAACTTGCTAAGCAGGATAGATGTACTCTCTCATGGGCCTAGAGGGCAGAAGGCTGAGATCAAGACGTCACCGGTCCCCTGAGGTCTGGGAGAGACTTCAGCCCATCCTAGGCTCAATCCCCAATACTGCAAACACAAAATGAAAAGTTTAAAAGCTTGCTTGTGGCCACCTCAGTCCCAGCTTCCATCAGAGACTCCTGCATCTCTGCCCACTCTCAGCTTCTCCTGCTCCTTCACCTGCCTTGGAGTCTACCCCAAATGCAAATGACAGTGGCTGACTCTTGCACTGTGATAAGCCCTCAATCCGTAGCCTGCTGTCATCTGGGCGGCCTCCATCTCTCTTTATTCTGCTCTGAGTGCTCCTACTTCCTGATTGTGTCCTGTGACGATGAACCATGGCAACCGCATAGGGCCTGGCATAGAATAGATGCCACATAAATTTACTGTTCCTCAGACTGATTGCAAACTGCACTCCCCTTCCTCCCCCTGGAGATCCTTGATCCGGGGTAGTTGAGACTGTGGGTACCAGCAGTGGAGTGGCTGTGAGGAGGAAGCACCAGGACTGCAGGCAGGGAGCAGGCCCTGCAGGGTCACTGTGGGGCCACTCTGCCCTCATGGTCCTGGGACCGTAGGATTCTCCTGTTTGTTAGCCGTGCCCGGACACACACAACTTCTGAAGCACGAGGAAGTCCATTTTCTGGAGCTTGCAGAGGTTCTTCTGGATTTTTACAAAATTCAAAATATGTTTTTCAAGCTGTTGATTAGCTCTGCTTAAGACTGTTTGGCCAAGAACACATGAAATTTATTTAACACTTCCAACGTGGAGCCTTTGACTGATATCTTTGTGTTCTAAATTCAATTTGCCCACCAGTAAGAATTCTGTCATGAGGGGCTGGGGATTTAGCTCAGCGGCATAAACGCCTGCCTTGCAAGCAGGCAGTTGTGAGTTCAATCCCTGGTACCGGTAAAAACGAAAAAGACAAAAAAAAAAAAAAAAAAAAAAAAAGAATTCTGTCATGAGAATTTATGAAGTGTGATCAAAATCTATGGTGAATGTTCAACTTTTTTCAGAGTAAAAGACACATTTCCATGAATTCCCCCCAAACTCAGCCCCTTGCTTCAATACACTTATCCCATCCTGCTTAAGACCTTCTGAAGCAGTTCTAGGAGTCCTCTTTCGTGAGTGTCTCTACGTGGTTGATAAAAAACACAACGAATGTGGCTGCCACTCCATCCATCAGAAAAGCAGTATGACCCCACCCACTTCACTTACCGGATCTGAGACTGGGTGACTTGGGGCTCTCCCCAAAATCAAAACAACCACGAAGGTAAGCATTCTGAATCTGTGCAGGAGGCTGACTGAGGAGTCACCACGGTGCAACCGTCACAACAGGGCACCCCAGACCTGCTTCACGAAGTGCCAAGGACAGTGGGGTAAGTGTGTCTGAAGCAAGATGGTGAATCTGGACGGAGATTAATGGCAGTCATATCCTGTATTTTACAAAGACAAAAAGCTTGCCTCCACCCCACACTTTCCCTCATTTTTGCCTCTTCCCCTCATTGTAGAGCTCTCCAACTCACGTGCCTTATCTCTGAGGCTTTGCATGTGCTGTTCCCATCACCTGGGGTGGCCTCTCTGCTCAGTCATCCAGTGAACCCAACAGTCCATTAGACCTCAGCACGGCTGGACTGGCATACATGGGGTACATACTGTGACCTCAACACTCTGGGAGGCTGAGGCAGTAGGATCACAGGTTTGAACCCATTTTGGCTACTTTAGCAACTTGGTGAGACCTTGTCACTAAATAGAAAGTTTTAAAAGGTCTTGGGATATAGCTCGGTGTAAGGGTCCTGAGCTCAATCCTCGGTACTGAAAACAAATAAACAAAAAAAAACCCTCAAAACAAAGACTAAACGTGAGCATCACCTCTTCTGTGACGTCCTCACTGACACCGGAGTATAAAATCCATGCCTCCTCATCTCCCTACTACAGCATGGGTCACACCTGGCAGCTGCTCGGAGTCTGCCTCCCCAGGGGTGACACAGTTAACTTTGCATAAAGCTAAGATTTTTGGTTTTGAAACTGAAGAATAAATTTGAGCACAAAAGGAGGAACTTACAAGAGTGTTTACTAGAAATAAGAAGAAAAAAGTTCTTGGTGCCAATCCCATCCGACATTGTGAGTAGAAGGCTAAGGGTCTTTATATGTGTAAGTAGACTGGGGAGTATCGGGCTGGGTTTCTTTCATGAAGTTTAGAAAGAAAACAGATTAATCTGCATATCTGTTTGCTCCAAGTCTAGAGGTATGGCTGTTAAAGTCTAATTTACATATTTTGAATAAGAGCCTTCTTCCTGGAGAGAAGAGCCCTTATCTCTTTATTTTTTTCCAAAGTTTTATTTGGTTTGTACATGTTTGCAGCTCACATGGTTTATATCTTTTCGGGAAATGGTCACACATACAGATTACAGCTTGTTTCTTTTTTTCAAACCCCTTCCCCTTCCCTCCGCCTCCCTGCTCTCCCCCTCCAGTTCCCCACCCCGTTTTCCTTTCCTGTCAATATTGTCTTAGCTCAAGGGATGGCATATACCATTTGCATTCTTTGAGGTTATTTGGTTCCTGTCCATGACACATCTCCGTCCTGCTTATTTCCCCCTCCGTCCTCCTCAGCTCTCAGCCCTGCTCCCTTGGACGACTCCTCCACTGCAAGAGGTCTGACCCTTGTCTTATTTCTCTGCTTTTGTCTTAACTTCGTATCCTTTGTTCTTGGGTTTACATTTGTGTCTTTAAGTTTGACTTGTTGTTTGAATTAATTCTTGACTTGAGTGGGCTGATTTATTTATCTCTATCTATCTATCTATCTATCTATCTATTTACCATCTATCTATCTGACACTGCCACTCTTACCCGCCTCTCTGACAGTTCACTCATCATAGCTAAACTGAACTGCTACATTCCACCCTCTGAAGAAGTGTCCCTAACAGCCATTAGGGAACAAGGGGTAAAGATGGAGTCGGCCTCAGCCAGCTGAGAAAGGCCTATGTGGAAGAGACATCAGTCAGGGATTTTTCTAGAGAGCTAATTTAAGTTACTGTCAGGGTTTATGTCTGTGGCCTCCCAGGTCTCATGTGCTTGCACTGTGCATTTGTGATTGGTTCATTGTCTATACTTGGATTGATGGTGTCAGTGCTACACCCACATAGGAGTGGAGTCTGGATGTGATGTAATGGCAGGAAGAAGGCATGTCTCACTCTTTTCCGGTTTCTGCCTTGCTGTTTGCAGCCGCCATGAACTGTGGCCCCGCCATGCCTCCCTGCCTTGGAGCCAGCTGAGTATAGACTGAAACCCCCCAAAACTGTAAGAAATAAACCTTTCCTTTCCCAACTTTGGGCTTCAGGTATTTTGTCTCAGCAATGAGTAAAAAGTAACTAAGACAGTTACCCTAGGTAGAAGTCAGGTTGAGGTTTAGCAGCTAGGGACTCCCTTAAGAAGGTCGATCTAATGGACCTTGGTAAAAAGAGTTGGGCACATTTACTATTAGCTTTATCTTTATGACCATCTGATATTTTTCAGGCAAGGAGGAATAAATTTTATTATGAAGAGAAGCAGCCACGTCTAGACACTTTTTAAGGGACTGGAGAAGGGATTGAAACCAACTGGGTCCTAGACCTTTCTATTTACAGACGTTATCTATAAGTCTGACATTTTATGGTTTAAGAACCTTTTTTAACCTGATGTTATTTATCTACCAACAACAAGTTTTACTTATTAATATGTAAGTCTCTCTAATTTTGGCAGTAAAGATATGGAGCGTTTTATAGTTTTGAAGGACAATTTTAGTTAAGGAATTTAAAGAATTTTGTCAAGCTTTTATAGCTGCCCTTGTGGCCTCTCAGCCCCACTGAGCCATAGTAATGACAAGCTGCACCTGCAGCTGCTGACCGACAGGGGTCCAGGGCTGGGCGGAAGCCTCCTGTCTATATTCAGCCCGCATAATTATCTTATATGTCCACATCTCATTTCGGTTACACCTTCCTACCGGTATTTAAGGCCAAGGTAAAGTGAGAATGGTGTTAGTTAAAATGAACTCTTTATACATCAAGGCTAGTGGCCGCTCCTCAGGAACTATTTTTGGGCCCACGTGTGAAGCCTCAGCTCTTTCACCGGTGTCATCTGTCAGGATGGGTCACAGTCTTGTGTGACCACATGGCTTCTTTGGAAACATGGGAGACATTTTTCTCTTTGCTGATCCTTTTTCCAGCACACTGGTTAACTCTGTCCTCCAGGGTCTAACAGTCTTCCTGTCTGGAAGGTAGGTGACTTATTGACACTGTAGGACCTTTTTAGTGAGGTTTCGTCATGTCCTGAATCTTTGTTGAGCTTGGAGGGCCCGAGTGCCACACGGCTGCCCTCTTAGCCCAGTGACCTCTTTCTGAGCTTTGGTCTCTAATCCAGTTGTTAAACACCCAGGTCAGTTTTATCAGCATTGAAGTGAGAGCGGTAACCATCCTAAGCTTGTGTGGCTATCAGGCACTTTGAAATACAAAGTATGGCTAGAAAACTGTCATTTTCTTATCAATCATGCTTGTTTTAGAATATTAACAGATAACAGTTATAAAGATTTACAAGGAAAATATGAAACCAGGAGCAAACATAGCATCTTAGCATAACAATCATGACATTAGAACTATTATGTTTTTGTTATCATAGTAGAAATAACTTTAAATACATATTTTATCAGTTGTTATCTTTGTCTATAAGATATTAAATGACATAAATTTTTATTTACATTTTCTTTTAGTGAAGTGTCTTTTAACTAGAATATATTTGTTTATAGAGGTACTTTATAGGTAATTAGTGCCTAATCTCTAATCATTAGAGTGACACTATCTGAACTGTGTAATATTTTGATACATCTATTATAGCATAATTATATATCAATCACATAAGCATAAGCATGTAAGAGTGTTTACATCATTTTGCTGTCTCCTATTGGATTGGCATGTACATTTTATCACTAGTTGGAATACAAGTAAGAAAAAGCCAGATGTTTGAGCCTGAAAAAGTTTTCACTGTAAACAGCTATAGTATGGAAGTCATTAGTATGATAAGATGTTTTTTAAGTTTTGTATTTTTGAAGGCCTGTACCCTTGGGAAACATAAACATATTTAATATACCATGAAGTATTACTAGCATCAAAGCAGTGTAGAAATCTTTATATATATATATATTTAGTTTTTATTCTCATGGCAAAATTTAGACTCTAAGAACATGACCTTCCCATGAGCCAGGGGCAGCCATGGGGAACTGGAAGAGAATCAAGAAGCCAAACCATGCCTTCCTGTGAGGCAGCCAGGAGACAAGAAGAGCAACACCACCACCAGCGGCATCCCTGTAAGCCACTGTCTGATTCAGAGGAACTCAGGCTGGGATGACAGCAACTAAAGTAAAAAAAAAAACCTTGAAAAACATTAAAGGACATTCTTAAACCTTTTATGTTAGGAAATAGTATTATCGATCTCCAATAGGCTTATTATCCAATACATAACATACACTATTTTACATTATAATGTATATTACATAATGTATTTCATTTATATAGTACAGAATGTTTAATCAAAATCAATAGAGGTAGATCAAGTTTTAAATTGTTACCAGATTGTCTGGGTTTGGTGGCACATGCCTGTAATCTCAGCACTCTGGAGGCTGAGGCAGGAGAATTGCCTGGAGTCCAAGGCCAACCTGAACTACATAGTGAGACCCTGTATCAAAAAAACTAAAATTGTTACCGGATTTTAGGGTGCTAGAATCTCCTTCTGCAGGTGATTTCTAAGTTCTTTCTGCCCTGAGCAAAGAATTAGTCAAGACAAGTGCAAATGGTAGCAAAGTTTCATTAAAGGTAGGAAAAGAAACAGGTTCTGCAGAGTGAGTTTGGACAAAGTAAAAGCAGGATAAAAATGTGAAGGTAGGCCACTATGAAAGAGAAAACAGGGTGGCACAAACTGAATCGTGACTGTCCTATTTGTATCACCCTCTCCTCAGACTGAGGTCAGGTCTAGGCCAGCCTATTGAAAACTTGCTCCAGTCTTCATGAGAAGTTCACATGCAGGGCTTTGGAATCTGTTCTGCAAATGCATCCTGGGATTTGCTAATTAACAGATCACACATTTCTTTCCCAGACAGCTTTGCCTTGCCCTAATCTCCTCAAAATGGCAGGACCAAGTTTAAAGATATGTCAAAAAATCTTGATTATTTTATATACCTAGAGTCTAAATGTATAAAACAGAGTATTTATTAGTTACTTTGTATGTATTAAGGTTATCTAATCTTAACTCTATAAATTAAACTTTAAAGCTTGGATTCACAGCATATATTGTTTTTAGACTATATATATACATATATACACATAGATATATTCCCAGATAAGTAGGTGAAATCATAAACTAAGAAAACAGTTGTTTATTCATCTAACCATAAACTGATTATTGGAAGCATTTTATAAGGCAATATTTAAGTAATCTTTAACTCTTAAAACTCAACTTTTATTAACTAAAGGTCTAACAATGGGAAACATAAGAGCCCATTTAGTAAAATATAGAATCTTCATTTTTTAAAAAATTTACCTTTGTGATTTAACCAAGAATGTTTTTTAAAAAAAATTTTATTTAAAAGGAAAAAGAGAAAAAACAAAACAAAACAAAGTGGTGTAAGGGTACAAGTAATACAGAACTACAAAAAAAAAAAACAGTAAGAAATCACCAGTTAATAGATTACACATTATCGTCTTAGAGACAGTTGCTCAAGTCACAGTATCAAAGCATACAAAGTGAACATTCAAACAGAGTCTACAAACAGTTGTGTTCAATGATCCAACCAAAAACATTAATATGGTCAGCTATTCAACACCCCTAAACACACTTGCAGTTGTATCCTTTAGAGCACTTTTTTCCCCTCTCTTTTTTACAACAAAATTTACACATTTTGGGTTTTATTACTCCTTAGTTCTTATTACTTTTTTTTTGGAAGAGAATAAAGTCAAATATGGCAAAACAAAGCTGTCAGTCAAAACCAAGGATAGACATAGTACATGATGTAAGAACAGAGTATAAGGTTATCAACAATGGTTACCATAATGTCTCTTGTTTCCTTAAAAAGAATTGTCTATCTCATTAGGTATTATAAAGTTGAACAAAAAGAATGTCTTAATATCTTCAGAAAACCTTATTATTTTAAACATAGCTTAGTCTTTTAATTATAACCAATTTAAATATATTATAATAATTCATTTAATAATATTTGTTGGTGGTATATTAGGTAGACTCTGGGAAAAACCAAAGAAGTCACCAGTTAGTAGGGAAAACTGAAGAAATTGGTTCAGGCAGCTGCTATTGCAGGGACATTTTGTCTGGCAGTTGCCCAAGACCAAGGGGTCCCCATTTTTATTTATCTTAACAATTATTTTAGATGATTCATGAGAACCAAATCATAGCAGTTAACACTTTAAAGCTATATATATTACCTTTAACAAAGGAAAAATTCTTATACACAAACAACAATAGACCTTGTATTTATAAATCCATTTTTATCTTCACAGGCTAGTAACCTGTATGGAAACACGTTACCAAATTTTTTTTTTTTTTGTCTTTTTCCTTTTTATCGGTACCAGGGATCGAACTCACGACCGCCTGCTTGCAAGGCAGGCGCTTATGCCACTGAGCTAAATCTCCAGCCCCCACATGTTACCAATTTTAAAAAATATTTTTATTCTTGGGGCTGGGGATTTAGCTCAGTGGCATAAGCACCTGCCCTGCAAGCAGGTGGTCGTGAGTTCAACCCCCGGTACGGATAAAAATAAAAAAGACAAAAAATAAATAAATAAAAATATTTTTATCCTTATCAACCAATTGAAATTAGTCTGCTGTTACGCTGTGTGAACAATGAGCATTTGCGCTAATATCATGAGTGTCCACTTACTAGCCAAAGAAAATAGAACATATGTTTGAAAATTAACACACAGAAACATGTACATTTACCTAAGTATACATAATCTTTGTCATCAAACCTTAAGGTTTTTACCTGTAAGCCTCTTGTAAGCCTAAAACCTACCAAGTTTTTTGGTGATTTTTATTCTAAAGAGAATAAAACCAAGAAAAACAAAACAGAATAAAGGAATTACCAAATATATATTTAATATATATATATATATATATATATATATATATATATTAAGTTTGGCTATTCTGAAAACTCAAATATCCAGTTTTCCATTGAGAGTCTCAAAAAGAGGCTAGAAAAAATGAAATTGATATACGGTCAAAAAATCTTTAACGAAGCAGCCATAGGTACCTTAACTAGTATTAAAACACATTAAACAGGCAAATGAGTGAGTAATACAGAACATAATAATTTCTTACAGGTACTTTTACATTACACTGCACTTTTACATGGGCCAAGTCTGAGGTTAAAAAAGGCTGCTAAAGTCTAATTTAGCATATTTTGATAAGCATCTTCTTCCTAGAAGGAAGATCCCTTATCTCTCTATTTTATGCTTTATTCTCATTTGCCTTTGTATCTTTCAGCTTGAATTAGCTGTCTGAATCAGTTAATTAACTTGCGAGCGATGTTTCTTTTTTTAATCTGATGCTACTATTATCGGATTCTGTACTCTTGCCAGGTCCTTGGTGTCCTGAAACAAACAATTGGGCAAGACATGCAAAGTAGGTAGCAAGATTGTATACCTGTTAAAGATAGGAGAAGAAATATGCTCTGCAGAGTGAGAACATTTCACTGAGAGTTCACAATGGCCAGAAGGTTAATGGTAAAAGACTTTTGTATCCCTTTTTCTTAAGGCTGACATCAGATCAAGGCCATTGTCGTAGTTACTTTGTACTCATCACTGAGACAAAATACCTGAAGCCCAAACTTGGGAAAGGAAAGGTTTATTTCCTACAGTTTTTTGGAGGTTTCAGTCCATACTCAGTTGGCTCCAAGGCAGGGTGGCATGGCTGGGCCACAGCTCATGGTGGCTGCAAACAGCAAGACAGAAACCGGCAAGAGAGCTGGCTGGCTACTGCTCCAGCTGGCAGCAAACCTTGGTGGCATCCACATGGTGCTGATTTTAGGTACAAGGAAAATGCACAAATTCTGAGGGTAAGATGGCTTCCACCTCGATCGTAAAGGGCCTGGGAGGCCAAACGGTGTGCCCCTGAGAGAGCAATTTGTAAAGATGTAAGGGTGAAGCCAAAGGTGCAGTGGAGACCCCAAAAGTTTGGAAAAGCCAGGAACATGGATCATCCAAGGAAAGCTGCAAGAAGTGAGCATCGAGGGTTTAAGAGACAAGCTGTGGGAGCTGATATCCCTGGAAGTGCCGTGGGAGTGGAATCACCCAAGCCTTTTGGAGCTTGCAACCAGATTGCTTCAAATGCTGGGCATGAAACTCTAGGACTTACTGTTAGCCCTGCTGGATGTTGGGCTTGCTTTGTTTCCAATGCTTTATATTCCCGTTTGTAACTTTTGGAATGGTAATGTTTATCTTGTGCCTTTGCATTTCAGAAATGTTTAACCTTGTTTCATTTGTACAGGGGGTTACAGGTAAGAGTTTGCCATAGATCTTGGAGGAAACTAGGGACTTGGACTGTTGAGCAATGCTGAAACTATTAGGACTTTGGCAACTCTTGGAGATGGACTAAATAAATATCTTTTGTATAAAAGATGTACATGAGTCCTGGGGGCCAGGGGTGGAATGTCATGGTTTATGTTGGTGGCCCCAGGCCTCATGCATTTGCATTATGCATTTGTGATTGGTTCATTGTCTAGGGCTTGGATTGGGGATGTGAGTGCTACACTGGCCTAGGGGTGGAGCCAGGATGTGATGTAATGGCAGGAAGAAGGTGTGTCTTGCTCTTTTGCGGGGTTTCTGCCTTGCTGTAGCAGCTGCCATGAACTGCAGCCCAGCCATGCCACCTTGCCTTGGAGCCAACTGAGTATGGACTGAAACTCCAAAAACTGTAAGAAATAAAACTTTCCTTTCCCTATTTGGGGCTTCAGGGTCTCAGCGATGAGTAAAAAGTAATTAAGACAGCCATCCTATCAAAAACGTGCTTGATTTTGCTCTAGGAGAATTGAAAATAGCACTTTCCGATTGGTCTCTCCATGACTGGCACTCCATGATAGACACGGGTCATTCCCACTTGTTCAGCCAGCTGGCCGTGCCCTAATCTATCTCACTTCCACTGCTGTCAGTCTCTCTGAATGTCTACTCATAATAACTAAACTAAACTGAACTATTACAACAGGATGCCCAGCTCTTTCAGGGTAGGAGCTGTACCTCATTCTCTTGGCTGTAGACCACTCCTCATCTGTGTGTGTGCTTAGAGGGGAGGAAACCACTGCTGAGCCAGGTGCAGGTTCCTGAGCTGTGTGGGGTGTGGCACACAGTATGCCTTTAGTAAGCGTGAACTATGGTGGAGCATTGTTTTGGAAATTTACAAAAATGTTCATCTGCTGCTCAAACTCCCTCCCTCACTTTAGATAGCAGGCCTAGAGGTCACTATTTACCAGAAACGGCCAGTTCAAAAGCAAAGACAAACTTTCACCCTAAGCTACAATAGTCTAGAGCTCAGGTATGGAACAGAAACTATTTCAAAGAGAAATAACAAAACAGAGCAAGTCTTCATCCTCTGTCATCATGCTGTTTTGAGCTGGAGGCAAGGTGGGAGGCTTCAGAGAAGTTCAAGCTCTAGGTGTGATTCCCGTGAGAAGGGGTTAGATGGCTCTAGGGCCGGTCCATGGTTCCTCTTGGCCTTCTTCCTCTTGCTCTCTGTGCCCCTCACTACCCTATCCACGGGCTCCTTAGTCCTATGCTTCTGAAGGGGTTCAGATCATGGGGAGCAAGACTAGTGGGGTAAAGAAGATCGGAGGAAGGCGAGGCTGATTTACTCACTTCCTGCTGCCTTCCTGATGAGTCCTGTCGACTTAGAAGTGTACTGGGCAAGGTCACATGGCACCAGTGAACCCCTGCAATCCCAGTGGGGCCACCCACCCACTCCTCTGACTAGGCCAGAGACACTGCATCAGACACAACCCGCCCATCCCTTTGTAAATGGTTCCTTACACAGCACAATTTGAGCATACTCTCTGCTCTCTGCCCCTGCCTCTCCAGCCCGGGCCAAGAAGAAACATCAATAATCCCGCCAAAACTTAGAACCCAGGAATGCAGAGAACTTGCTCCCTGTTTACTCTCAGAAGTTCTGCATGAGTTACTAGAGGTGAGAAAAACACAGATGGAGTGGAATGGCCTGTGTGGGCAAATGAGCTGGAGACAGCCCCTGAGTTTTCCCTCAGTGGTACACATAATTCCCTCAAGCTGTGTGTGTGTGTGTGTGTGTGTGTGTGTGTGTGTGTGTGTGTGTGTGTGTGTTGGTGTCTCTGTATAAACACGCACATACATATGTGTATATATAGACATAAATACATATAGAGAGTCAGCAGACAAGACAGAGACGGGTGAACAGGCGCAGGGGGACTGTTCATGTCAGGAATGTGGGTGAATTAATAGGGTTCAATGTTGGTTAATTTTATGTGTCATTTTGGCTGGGTCATTATGGCACCTAGAAACTGGGTGAAATATTCTGGATGTTTCTGTAAAGATGTTTTCTAAAATGAGATTAACATTTAAATCAACAAACTTTGGGGGAATTCCCCTGCCTTCCAAATGTGCTAAACCTCATCTAATAAGAGGAAGGCCCTAACAGGACAAAGACAGACTGCCTCTCAGCAAGAAGGAATTCTGCCAGCTGACTGGCCAGCTCTGGGCTGGAACTATATCCCTTCCCTGGGTCTCCAGTGGCTGCCAGGCTCCCCTGCAGATTTTGGACTTGCTTCTCCACAGTCACGTGAGTTGATTTCTTACAAGTTTGAGATGACCCCACCCTTCCCTGTCCACACACACACACACACACACACACACACACTTTGGTTCTGTTTCTGGAAGGAACCCTAACGCAAGAACTTTCCCTGCCAGGGAGTTGAGCAATCAACCAAGCAGACTGTCTGGGGCCTCAGTGGATGGAATGTTTGTCACCTCTGGCAGACAGGACCCATTATTCAAGAGCAGGAAGCCAATTATGTGCAGTAGCGTTATTCTAAAAGCCTGCATCCCCGTGGCCTCCGGGTCACTCCCCCAGTGCCTGACGGCTCCTGCTCTCCGCAGTTCTTCTCATGGCTGCCACCTCAGTCTGATATCCCCTTCCCCTCACAGGACCCTCCCCGTCCAGCTGTCATCCTCCCTTCTCGGCTTTGCCCTACCTGCGGGCATGCCACGCTCTTCCCTCCGTGCCCACGCTCTGTGCTGCCTCTGAGTTTCTCATCCACCTAATGACTCTCCAACTGTGTGGACCCCAGTGCCGGCCACTCAGCCCTTGGCTCAGGTTGCTGGGCTCTGGGGGAAAGCGGAGCCCCGAGCGAGCCCGCGTGGGGGCCTGGCGAGGAGCCCCGGGGGAGGAGCACGGTCACTGCCAGTCACCCTGAGCAGCAGCCAGGAGCCGCGCGGATGCCCCTGGATGTGAATGCCCCATTTCTGCTGCGTTCTTTCCGTTTGTCAGCGATCTCGGGAGTACCACCGTTGTAGGCTATTTGGATGACATTATTATAAGTCATTTAGATTTTTTTAAGGCACAAAACCGGAATAAAGCCGCCACAGTCACTTGCAGAAATCCCAGAGTGTGTGAACAGCTCAGCCAGCCAGCCGGGGTCGCTGTTCGCTATTCATCCGCTGGCGGGCGCCACTGTGTGGCCAGACTGCAAACATCATCTGCAATTGACTGCCAGTTTTGAAAGCAGGCGCCTCAGTGGACTTTAAACTGAGGACAGCTGCATTATTTTGAAGTTGTAGACGCAGCATCACAGTTTGTTAGTAGCCTTTACTACATTATTACACAGCCCTATAATTTAGATGAGGGTCAAATGTGACCCGCCAATGCCATGCAGTAAAAGGTCTTGATTTGGGAGCGTGCTGGGCGTCAGAACTTGACGCAGAGGAGGAGGGTCTGGGGCCTGGGGCGGTCCTGCAGATGAAGAGCCATGTTGTCCAGGTCTCAGGGAATTGTCCAAAAGACCACACAGAAGTGGACAGCGGAGAAAAGGAAGGTGGTCCAGACAGAGCGCAGGGCATGATTCACCAAAGGGTCACCAAAGGACACGAAAGATGAGTGAAGGAAACATCAGGTGTGGTGGGGCCTAGCCCTGAGAGGGGAGTGGAAGTAGAGGAGAACCAGGGCCAGGCCGAGGAGGGCCACGCTCTCACGGGAAACAGCTTTCTAATGCAGGGCTGCAGGCTCCTGTAGGACAGTGGGGCTGTGTGTGGAAGCAGCAGTGTGGCGCTGGGGCAAAAGAGAGATGACACCGCAAGAAACAGGCAGTGTCTCCAGCATGCACCCATTATCCAAAGATTTGCTTAATGCCAATTGTGTGCCAGGCACTGTTCAAGGCACCAGAGGCACGTGAGACCACCAAAACCTGCTGTTCACAGAAAGTTTATGCCCTCTGGCACAGAGGCAGGCAGAAAACAGAGAGATAAAGACATAGATAGTCTTTCAGGTGGCATTGAGAGCAGTGGAGTGGAAAAAATAAAGCCAGGAGGAGGACAGGAAATGCGGGTGAGGCTGCCTTTTTTATTTGTATGTTTTCCTTTCCTTTTTTCTTTTTTGAAATAGGGTCTCACTACATAGATCCAGCTGGCTTTGATCTCACTATGTGGGTCATGCTGGTCTTGAATTTGCAGTGATACTCCTGCCTTGGCCTCCAGAGCACTAGGATTACAGGAGTGCACCAGTCCTCCTGGCAGTAAGCTAGTGATACAGACACAAAGCAGAGGCAGTAGTGTGGGGGGACTAGCTGAGAAGAGGAGATGAGAAATGAGACCTCTCATGGGACAAACTGTGAGGTCCAGAGTTGACAAGTGACAGTGAAGCTCTCTCTGGTAAGGCCTGGCTGAGACCAGGGAGACATGAGCTGGCCAAAGGCATTTCTGATGCACAGCATACAGAGGCTGTTGAGTCCTGAGGAGTTAGGGGAGGTCCAGGCTGCCTCCAAGTCCCGGTCTGCATACTGAGGGGTCATGGGGAATAGCCTGCCTTCTTTGTGTCAGTAGCTGGGCATGGCTGTTGCTGCTGCATGTGTCAGTTACTCTGAAGTGTGCTTATCTACTTGTAGGGCTATCTGCTACTTCAAGGCTACACCATGCTCCATATTTATCTCTGTAGCCAGCCAGAGGAAGCTCCTGGAAATGGCTGCAGGACTGAATGAAGCATCAGCCCCAGGAAGGTAACAGCTTCAGTCATCTTGAAAAAACTGCTTGCTGTCTTTGCCACACTAGAGAACACGCTCGTTCTGCTCTCTTTATGGCTCCACACCCTTCCTTTCTGGAGATGGAGAGGGATTCTGACCAAAAATGCCATTACTCAGCCCTAGTTAATACAAAGCATGGTTGGCATTCCACCAAGATCACAGAGCTAAAGGTAAGGAGCTGTGCACCGAGGCCACAAAATCAGCTGTCTAACTGAGTTTCCTGCATCTTTTAGATGCGATTGTCTAGAACTCAAGGTCTTGCATCTCTGTCTCCACATGATCAGCCTTGAGAGCTTTATGAAGTATATGCATGTTGGGAGCCGCGGCCGAGCCCGGTCGCCTTACTTGGCGGACGTGAGGCCTGTAGGAAAGAGCAAAGCCTGAGCTAGATTACCCCTCCCATCGAGTGTGCTAAGATGGCGCTTATCTCCTGCTTCCTGCTTGGTAAACAACCCGCCCTGTAAGATCTCCTGCTTCCTGCTTGGTAAACAACCCGCCCTGTAAGATCTCCTGCTTCACAACCCGCCCTGTTAGATAGTCTGCCTAGCAACAACTGATGTTAGCCAATCAGCCCGCATCGCGCGCTTTGAACTGATTGGCCACTGTATAAAAGTGAGTGCCTCTCCCGCCACGAAAGAAGAAGCAAAAGAAGCAGAAGAAGCACGCAAGGAGCCGCGGGGAGCGGACC